TTCCTAAGACACAGACTCTGCCATGAGAAAGTATGAAAGAGCCTTTGACCCCCTTGGGTGCAGGTGCATCTGAAATAGGAGTGGACACTCCTGTGAGTGAAAATCCTCCCCAACCCCAGGATGGTGCTAATTTACATTTAAAAGTAACATGCAGGCGTGGAGAAGGATGCATTGGAAGTTCATCCTGGTCATCATCATCTTGGAACCAGGAAGTTCATCCTGGTTACTGGAATGTGAGTGCTATTCCTGAAAAAATCAATCTCCCTTAAGGCAACTGTAGACAGTTTAACTGGTAACGACAAGGTATCCAAGAGCCATAGGCTCCTGTGGTTCATGTGAACTTGCAGATGTGATCAGAAGATGACGTGGACGCTCGTTAGATAATTGATGCGCAGGGTGCACTGCCCCGGGTGCTCCAGCCACAGCCGCTCACTCACAGGTGCCGAGTGTGAGCCAGCCCCGTGGCCCCAGACCTCGGTGAGGCAACGTGTGTTTTGGGGCATGGAGGTATGGGGGGAATGCAGGGCAAACACGGCTGTTGCCAAAGGGTTGCTAAAGCTTTTGCTTTGGTACCGGTCTTCTTACCATGGTTTCTCAGTAGTTTGGAGCTCTGCCCTCTTGGCTGCTTGCTAAGTTGTTTGGTTTTGGATTCTTTATGGGGAAAACTACATTTTTATTTACCTCTTCTCTCCCAGTTATAACTTATTTGATAGAGTGCCATGTCTATTAAGCAAAGCCCTTTATGAATTTTATATTTGGAAAGTGAATAGAATGAGAACGGGGAAAAACTGACCTTGGGTTTGCAGCAAAGGGTGGCTCTCTCAGCTGTACTCCTCTGTCGGCGTGGATGCAAAGCAAGCAGGGGTTGTATTTCATTGCGAGTGAAGTAGGAAATATGATCCTTGGCACTGTTTGCAAAAATACAGGCACATTATGGCAATGCCATTAAATGTCATTTAGAACACGTGTTCTCAATAAGAAATGGAGTATGGATTGGTATAAGGGGGATGGAGCAGCAATACCAACAAACCCACTTCTCAGGATAAAGGCTAAAAAAACTACATCCCACCTCTGTCTTTTGCAGCTTCTGATGCCCTAACTACCCTTTGCTCTTCCCTCCCTCTGAAACCAAGGAAGAGAGTTACTTTAGCCTTGCTGTAAGGTTCTGTTTTAACTGGATGCACCTACGATGGAAATACTCTAAAAGGTACAGTAATAAGCAAGAAGTTGCCCAAAGTTCCCAACTCTGGGGAACATGCTTCGCAGGGATGCTCTGGGGCGGTAGGTGGTCTCTTGTCATCTGAATTTCTAATTATTTTCTAAGAGATTTCAGTCCTAGGTTTGTTAGAGGCCTCAGGCTTAACTGAGGGTTAAACGTCTGTGGAAGGCGAGTCTCTGTCACGAGACAGGGATGATGTGGAAGGACTGAACACTGTTGCGATAGCATAATCCTAACTGTTTAAAAAAAAAGGTGATTATATCATATCTGTTTTGATTGATGACTGTTAATTCTAGTATGTATGACATCTTTACCCACTCTGTGGTTATGTAGCATGTTAGGTATCTCTCCCCGGAACCTGGGATAAATCGAAGTAAGAACAAATTACTGAAAAAGCCTCCTGCAAAGCAAAAGGAGAATGGCACTGCATGGGCGCTGCCAACTAATACCTGTGGATTCACGTATATGGGCTTTTTCTGAAGTCTTTCTACTTCACCTTTTGTTTCCTTATTGTATCTACTTCCTCTTTTTTTAAAATTACAACCCAGAATTTTACAATGCGTATTGCATAATACCTGTGTATTCTAAAATTGGGTTTGTGTCTTTTAAATGTTATTTCACATTGTTAGGAGAAATTCCATATGGAATCATTTTCTCCAGCTCAAAAATACATAAAGAAGATTGGAAGGTTTGTTTATGTTACATGTGCTCATTAAAAGTAGGCACAGCAAGAAAACCTAGAAGGTGTAAAAATCTCTGAGTTTCTGTGGAGCAATTGTCTATCTTTTTAATGAAATCAACTTGTTCTTTGAGATTCAAAATTTGTCCCTAGAAAATGTATCCATTCATTTTTTGCATCATCAAAGTGATATTATTTCTGTTCCCTATCACCCTTCTCTTCTACAAAATGAGCGCACACTTGGTATGAACTACAGCCACTTTTCTGAAGAAAATTGAGACAAAGTAGATTTTGATAAGAGACTTTGATTAATTCTTAATCCACGTAGCAAACTATTTGTTGGTTTTCAGATGTAATTTAAATTATGCAGTGTTGGGTCTACTCATCATGCTGCTGAAACAGGAGTTGACTGAATAACTCTGCTCCAGCACCTGCCCCCAGTTTATGCATTGCCTATACATTTATATATTTTAGTTTTTAGGTGCAAATGGGCTAGCTGCACTTATGGTGACATTGAAATACCTAGAATCTTTATTTTCCTTTCAGAAAAATGTCTTAAAGGCTTGTTGAGATTAACAGGAGTTTTCACAGAGGGCAGATTTCAGGGGTTTATTGGGGCAAAAGGCACACAAAAGAGTAGATAGTAGTAAAAATTCACTGATTGTTTACGGGGTTGGTTGGATTTGTTATATATTCCCTTAAGCATTTATTAAAATCTTGTTAATTTGCAAGGTGGATGTATACGCTGTCTGCCTAAAGCATTAACCATTAGCATTTTGTTCTTGATGTTTTCTGTCCATGAATTTCAGCTGTATTTGACTATTTGTTGGATGTGATCCTGCATTTCAGTCACATTAGCCTCCTTTTTTAGGGTTACTTTTTTTTTTCTTGCATTCTGTATCTTTTAATTAGTTGACTATAATTCTTCGACATCATGGGCCATGGGGCGTTTAATGGCTTTTGACACAAGGAAAAAGTGTTGAGAGATTTTTTTCATTGATAGATGCTTCTTCTGGGGTTGGATGTCTCACTTTCCCCATGCGAGACACACAAGGAGCCTCAGTTAGAAAGTGGGTTTCTCTTGCCAGGGTGTTTCAGAAGAATCGGTGAATGATGCAGCAGAATTTTGCAAGAATGCAATAGTGAAACCACTGCTTTACCTCAGCAGCCCGTGGGCATCACTTCTGTTGTGATCACAGCAGGTTTTGAGTGATGTATGCACAAAGGAAAAGGAGAGAATGAACAGAAAGTAGTTTATGGCTTTCCTCAAAGGCACTTTTCTAACTCAAAAATATAAGCCTTGTGGTTTATATGGTTTTGAAATGTAACCACAGGTATTGAGAACTGGAAAACATTTGATTTACCATCTCCAATTTTGGTACCAGATTCAGGGCAGAGGAGGTTTATTTTCAGAATGAAAAATGTTGAAAGGAAATATATTAGTGTCAAAATTTTTCAAACAGGAACATACTATTTGGAGAAAGTGCCAGGTGAAGAAATGGAGGTCATTTGCGTCTTGATGGGGTGGGTGCAGTTGTGTCCTTTTGAGATCTCCACCAAAGTGCTGTAACCTTGTTTTGGTGAAGCTTTGCCAGATATTTTATGGTCTGCAACTCCCATTTTTGGAGCTGTGAAGGATCAGTGTCAGACTGAGCACTTTCTCTTCAAACTTGATCTAGGAACTGAATGGGGCACGTCTCAGACTCTCCAGCATGGTAGACCTGGCCATCCTTGGCTGCTTATAGCTGGGAGCAGAGTGAGCTGATGCTCTCCGACTTGCCCCACTGGTTTTTTATGCCATTTGACATTGCCTCATCCTTGTTTTGTTTGTTTTACTCATTGAACGACTCTATTCAACTAAAGAGCTGGCTATCTCTTTAGTATGTAGAGGTCTATGCAGAATTTAACTTTTCTTTAGACATGGTGATCCTGGGTGTTCATAGTGTAAGATACAAAGGTGTTTTTCTGGCCTCTGTGACCTATCCTTGCTTTTGCAGGCACTGTTCTGTCACTGTTTTAATACGTGTATCTTACTAATTGCTACTTCTTGCTCCTACTACAGTTTCTGGAGGTCACTCCAGAATTTTCCTGTTCTTGTCTCTGAGTTGAGCCCAGATGCACTTGTGATTCAGTTATGACTGTTTGGTTTTCAGTCACTTTGCTTTGTTCTTCCTTCCCTTACATTTCTTCCTCTCTCTCTTTTGTCTTGAGCAACTGTCTGCTCTCCAGATTTGTTCCGGAAGGCTTATGAAACTCCTTGTAAGGTCTTGTCCTTTTTCCTCGGATATCCTGGCGTTAGTTTCCTGCTGCTTCTCTGGTTCCTTCTTGGGTGTGGATGAACAGGAACCTCTCTGGCATTCTGGTGGGAACATAGTTATTGCTTCATTATCCATGCCAACGACACTCATTTTTCACTCTTTAGGGGTACCAGGAGAACCGTGAGTCCCCCAAAGAGGTCCTGCAGGAAAAAGAAAAGATGACTTGTTCATTTCTTTCAGGAGCCAAAATGATGTGGACTTCCACATTTACATCTTCTGTCCTAGCTGGAGGGTAGTTAGATACAATGGCTCAAGACCCAATGTGAACTGCAGCGTCTTTCCACTCTGATGGGACAAGGCAAAAGCATGATGTTGCTTTGCTGTCTTGCTTATGTTTGGCTCTCGAAGTGACTGCTTGCGGGTTATTTTGTTATGTTTAGCCTCTGACTACCTTTAATCCTTAGATACTTTCAAGGCTTTACCAGGTAAGGAAGGAAACAACACTGTTCTGCACCAGCCTACCGTGGTTAGTATTTCAGTGTTTCCTCTCCTTGTTCAATCCCTGTTCTGGAGAACTGAGTGGGAATTGTCTCCTTACACACAGACGGAACGGAGAGCAAAACCTTTTGGTCAGGTCATGCCAGAAGATGGGTGGTTACCCCCCCTGTGGTTGACCACCTCCTGTCTCAGCGACTCGGCACTGGCTGCCTGACAGCAGGGCTCAGCCGTGCCCCGAGACATTTCATAGAAATAATTGCATTACGGGTGCATTCGCTTCCAGGGTTGGGGAAGGGGGAAGGTTGTTTCCTACTTATCCATGCTTGCACAGTGGCATGCTGGCAACATGCCGAGTCGCTTCAAATTGACTGGAGAGACAATTTTCATACGTCTATGTATTGAAAAAATGGTGAGATCAGGTTTCAGTTACAGGGAGGTAAGGCAGGAAAAAGTCACGTAAGAAAAGGGCTTGTTTTGTTGATTGAGGTTTAGAAAGCTTTTTAACAAGTTGAATTATTGGCTGTATCTGAAGTGAAACACTGCTTTCCTAACTGCCCTCATTTCCTGTATCATTCCAGCTTGTTCACTGCATTAATTACAGTTCAGATTTACAGTGTATTTGGTTACACACTGGGTTGCATTCTAGTTTTTTTCCTATGTGTATATAAATTTCTTTGGGAGTCAGGCCAAGAGGAGAGTGTGTGTATATAAGCATGCACACACACATGGGCTGAGTTTGACTGTTCGTTTCTAATTTTGTGGGGAGTAGGGATCTGGATTTTCTTCTGTTTTCTTGTAAAAAGAAACTTTTCTTTTTCCGAAGGAGAAGCAGTAGCTGAGAACAGCCAGTGTTTGGAGAGTTCAAGATTTCAGAACAACCAGAGATGAGAGAAAATATTATCTTATGAATTGTAAATGTGGCATTTTAAATTTGGCTGGTGTTTCCCAGAGTTAGTGGATAGTGGTAATACTATCACTCTCTTGGCTCGACCAGTAGTCAACTTGCTACTTGAAATATTTTATAAATGCAGTGCTTCAGAGTTTAGTTGGATGAGGTAGGGCTTTTCACAGTTGAAGTAGCTTTTTGTGACCTGAAATATGAAGTGAGATGGGATACTAAGCAAGAAATCCAGCATTTGGAAATGAGCTGGAGAAGGAACTGGAGAATGCAGAGGTGATTGAAAGAATGTTTCCTTTTCAGTTTAACATTTTTCTTTTGGCCTTGTGAAAACATGAGAGGAGATGCACTAAATATACGAGGATTGCTTTTGGAGAACTCATTCAGATTTTTAAATTCATTCTTCACATATAAACTGTTGATGCAGTAGATTTTCATTCAGAATATTCTGAGTCATGGTTTCATAAGTAAATGATTGCGAATTAAATAGAACCAGATATCAAAAATGTTACTGCTTTAAAAATGAAATATTCCTAAACGTTTAGTTCAGAAATACTGGCATGATGAATGATAAAAGATACAAAATAAGAACTGAATGCAAGTTCTCAAATAACTAGGTGAAAAGTAAAAGAGAAAAATTCCAAATAACCTTCGTTTGAAATAATGAATCAGTTTTTTTTTTTTCTTTCCTTTTTTTTTAGCCTTGCCACTAATGGCAGCAGCATTTCATCTTTCCTTTTCCTCAAACACCATCTTACCCGAATCCCATCAGAGCCCAGCTTGGTTCCAGCCCTGCGTTGCTGGCCGGGCCCCGCACAGGCAGGCTGGGCTCTCCAGCACACAAAGGCTCCCTTGCCCTTGCCAAGCAAATAGAGGCTGGTCTTCCCATGAATTCACCCACTCGCATTTCCATCCACAGATTGCAAAGAGGTTAACACTTTAGAGCCATTTCATTAAAAATGAGTGTGTTGATAATCCTTTCCAACCTGTGCAAGATGCTTACTCTTCTAGGACCATTTTGGTTTAATATTAAAAAGAGGGAGTGGTGGGGGGACCGGTGGGGATGTATTTGATGCGTAGCAGCAGCATGATTTAGTTGTAAATGCACCAATACAGCTTTTCAGTATTTGAGCCCGTGTGGGTGTTTAGTTAAAGCCGTGCACGGATGATGTCTGTTATTTTGTTAGGATTTCAGAGTGAGGGATTTTAGCACTTTAATCCTGACTGACAGTTGGAAGGTTGGTGGTTTCAAACACAGTGGCATGGAGTAGCTGATTTCTCTTCGGTGGAACAATGCACCAGTGTGTCTAGGCTGCCTGTACAGAGCCAATAAATCTGTTTTGTTTTGTTTTTCTCCCCCCTTTTTCTCTCTCTCCTTCTCTTTCTCTTCCCCCTCCTCCAGGCCAGGACCCACTCCTATTGCTGAAAACCCTTCAGCTTCTCTGGACAAAGAAAGAGATGAAGAAGGTAAGACTGAGCCTCCCCTCCATGCTGCAGTTAATAACTGCATGCAGAGCATGTCCAGACGCAGATCGCTTAGGTCAGACCTGCAATTCTTCATGATGGCTTTCAGTTCCAGCACACAGGGGAAGAGCCTATGCATTTGCAGCAAGAAGTGAAAAGAAAAGGTAGCTCTGTGTGATGTGAAGCAGCTCAGGGGCTCGTATAAAAGAGTTGAAGTTTACAGGGCTGAGTTACAGAGGGGGAAAAAAATCAAAGTTGCTTTTGTTTTCTTTCAAACACTTTTTTTGTCCATTAAATGGAGGATCTTTGGGGGGAGGGGGAGAATATTTCTAGTAGCTGAAAAAATGAGGGTTGAAGTCAGTAGAAAAGTGCTCTTTGCCAAGTGGAATGATATCAAAGCCTTCACATTCAAAGTATTTTTACTGTTTTTTTCTGATTTGGTTTGGTTTTGCCTTTTAGAGTGGTGAATGCAATTTACACTGCCTGTCTAAAATTAGTGCTATATTTTTATACAGCACCCTATGGGCTCTACGTGGAGATTTCTCATAGGGAGTAAAATATACTTCATCTAAATTTGGGAGCTTGAAAACTAACAAAAACACTAGATGCATCAGCTTAGTGGTGAGTTTCCCATGTTTAACTCTGCGTTGTTCAGGCAGGTTCATAGCTGAGATGTTTTTTTTCTGAAAGACCCAAACACCTGCAACTCGCCGCATAGCCATGTGGAACGTGTCCTATGTGAAATGACTGGTGTGGCTGAGTACCTTGGTGTACGTGCTCCATCCTAAGTGTGTGGAGGGTTTAGTCATTGTCCTTGTCTGCCGCACTTAGACTTTCCATTACTGATAGTCTGTGGTTCCCAGCCGGAATAATAAAAAAACTGGAAACACAGTGTGAGAGATGCCTTTCTAAATGGTCAGTCCATGACATAGACTTGAGCTCAGCAACTCTGAAGCCTTGAGTTTTCTATCAAGTTTTGTTAGAGCTGGAGGAAAAAAAAATGTTATTTGTTAGGTTTTGAGGGCAGTTAATCCCACAAAACAACAGTAGGAAAGAGTAATCATCAAAATCTCTGTACTGCATACCCTGGGATATGTGTGGATTGTGAAGAAAAATACTCTGAAAGAGACAAAGCCTCCCGTCGACGTGTGCTTGGGCAGAGAGCACCGCAGCTTTCCTGCTGAGGGTGGAAAAGCTTGAGGATCCCCATGAGTCACACTTGCAGGTCCGCTTATTCAGTTTGTGTTTCTGGACGGGTCATCCCGGTGAGACGCGTGGTTTTGCAGAGCATGCAGGCTGCAGCTCCGCGGTGGGGCGGGTCTGTCCCCTTTGAGCCCACACTCCAGGTGGCACGGTGTGGCTGCAGGCACGGGCAGAAGTGTGTTTCTGAACCTGGAGGATGCGTTTCTGAACCCCGAGGAAAGCCTTTTTAGAGAGGTGAGGAGGTCTGTGGAGGGACCAGGTGGTGGCACAGCAGCAGCTGCCTCTGAGGTAGGGAGCACAGCGTGAATGTCCCCAAGGGTTTCTGACACCTGCTCATCACGCTGTCACTGAGATGGGCTAATCCATGCTCAGGGCATCGCCATCCTTCAGGCATGCAGTGCACCCACAGCAAGCGTAGACACTTTTTTCAGGGGCAGCCACTGCCGTGCCCTCTGTGTGCAGCTCAAGGTGTGTGGTGCTGCTCCTTACATCCAACCGTCCACTTCAAATAAATGAGGGAAGTTGACTTAAATACAGCTGAGTCTGCTCCGTTAACATCTAAAGGGCAGGGAGCTTCTTTGCCTCTCGCTCTGTGTAAATTTAAGTCAATACTGTCTATTAACTAGTGTGAATGAGCCCGTTGATCTCAAATCAGTGACCATGAGCAGAAGGAGAGTATCTGTCCGAGGTGTGACCTTGGTTCTGGAACGTGATTATAAGAAGTGGTTATTTCCTACATAGCAAAGACAGTTTTGGAATAACCAAGAAGCAGCAGCAGACTGCTCTGAGCTGTGTAACTAGAAATAAGGGACCAAAACTGAATGAAGGAGTATGTAGTTGGAGCATCAGCAAAATTTTCCTATTCCCATGATCTCTCAGGCTGTAGAAATCCCCCAAGGAGCATTCCCTGCCATGGGAATCAATTGAAATGGAAATGGCAATTACACGTTTGAGAAGAATCTTTCTCTGGCAGAGAGACGACCCAGGCAGCACAGCTCTCTTTCCTCTCTGATTTAGGTGTCTCATGCCTTTTTTTTTTCCTTTGTTTTTTTCCCCCCTCAAACTGTACATACCATAGTTGAAGTCTTCACATTGCTAGGAAGTTTTGAAGAAGGTTTTTCCCCTGCTTGTCAAAGTCTAGCTGGTACGAAGTCAAGACTCAATCTAGATAACAGCAGTTAGTGCCCCTGGCAGTTGTGTCAGTGTTTGGAGATGCTCTGCGTGTGAAAGCAGGCTTGTGCTCTCACGGGACCTCGTGTCTGCTGGAGCCCATCCTGCCAAAGCCCAGGCTCTGACTCCAGCCTAAGGAGGAGCTGAGTGGTGTGGTGAAAGCTCTTGTTCAATCTAAATGTGCTGAAGTGGGGCTTGGAGGCAGGGGGGTGGGGGGAAACAGCAAAGAGCAGAGAGGCCATTTAGAAACAGTGCAATTTAGTTGGCGAGTTGCTTTGTTTTCCTTTGGCTGTTGTGTTAGATATTTGTGGTTGGATAAGAGCTTGCCTTTTCCTTCTGCTGAATCTCACAGTGAAGTTGGAGCCCTATGTTTAGCATCACAAATTCTTGCCACGGGGAAAAATACTTGCAGGGAGAAATCTGTTATCTAAAGTCACATCTTTGTTAGTCATCAGCTTTTTCATACTGCGTTTGATAATCTAGTGAGAAAGAAACAGTTTCTGTCGTAAACGATAGGTTTTGTGGTTTTTCCAGACATGAAAGACACTATGGAAAATAACTGTCTTCCAGTAAGTACTGTTGATGAATAAGAAAGAACAAATTCATTGGCAAATTTTCTGTAGATTTTCTTTTGTTTTCCATGTCGTTCTTCAAACTTTATGTTGTTTCCATTGGAAGCTATGACTGGGGCCATCATATACAGTAAATTAGAAGTGCTGGCTGCAGGCGGGAATGAGCATCTTTTGGATTTTGCTTTTTAGCCAGAAAAGAAAGAGAGCAGCTGCTCTTAGTGACTTCTTGTTTTCTGTCTCTGCTTTTGCCTTGCTCCACGCCAGTACATGTACCATGCGGTGAAAGGTCCTGTGTGGGTACTGAAGGATACCACTTCTTCACCGTGCCAACCCTCCAAGCTCCTTGGAAACTACTTCTAATGTAAACATTATAAAGATATTGCTCGGTACTGCTAATTTATCACTTCTACCAGATGGGTAGTAAGTAGCCTATTAACATTCACAAAGTGAGTGTCCAATTCCTTCACATTTCTAAACACATCACCCTGGGATTCTTAAGATTTATGTCGTGGAGTTTTCCCATGTTCCAGGCCCTTTCGTACGGCCGTTAGACATGTGGAGGTGGGTAGTCGACAGAAAATACCCTGCTCAGGTAGGTTGGGAGGAAAGGAGGATGATTTGCAGGATGGCAAGCTGACAGTTTGAACTCTGATATTTCTTTCTTTTTAATCTCGTGTGTAAAATCCAAACTATTTTGATAGTCCCAGATATTCCTGTTACGGTCAGGAGCATTACAGCATCGTGGCTGAAGTTGGCTGTCAGGTCAAATATGAAAGTTTGTGGTACAAGAATGAGGAGGAGGGGTTTATTACTCGTAGGTCTGTTAGAAGATGAGTAGGTTTTTGAGCCTGCTTATCTACCTTCAATATTGCTATTTTCCTAATAACACCACTTTCTCCAGTTCACTTCTTTTTTCCCCCTCCCCCAAATCCCAAGCCCCTTTGTCTGCCCCACAGAACAACTTCTCTGTCTTTATGGGATAATTAGTGTGGACAATTGCTGCTTTTCCCATTGGGTTTGAGGTGCAGTGAGCCATGAAGGAATCTGTAATGACATGAAAAGTCACTGGAGGCACGGATGGTGGCTGAATAGCAACAGTTACCTCTCTGAATAGATTAAATTAAAAAAATAAAGCTTTGTGTTCAGCTGGGGGAAGGGAGGATTCACTAATCTTTTTGTACATGGCAATGTGGTTTTGTATCTCAGCAGCTCAAGGAAGAAATCAGGCGGGGCTTTGCAGGACTGGAGGACCCATTGGCAGGACTCCTGGACATGCTGGAGAGCAGCAGTGATTGGAAGGGGAAAGGGCATTCCCTTGGGTATTGCATCACCACTGAGCTGCAGCTTTGGATAAGAGAGCATCCTGCTGTTCAACAGGTTAGAAAAAGAGAGAGCAAGAGAGCTGGGAGAAAGGAGAGGGCAATTGGTTTTAATGTCCCTGAAGTGTCCCCAATTTCACTTTATTCCATAGTCCAGTGTCTTCTCTGTAGTCTCATACAAACACAGTGTGATGGGGTGTGAAATTCGTACTGAGATGTTGTTATCTGTTGTATGCTGGCCTGAAAATGAAATAATATTAGAAGGTGTGTTGCAAGAGCTCTGTTTCCTCTTCCAAACTGGGATTTCCATCTTTCCCGATCAAACCACTTTGTTCAAGGGTTGATCTTGCAGCCTTTGCCGGCCTGGAGGCTTTCCCACTGGAATTCACATCCCTGCTGTCAAGATAAAACCAATTGCAGTAACCTATTCCGCGTATTCTTCCAGTTCTGCAAATAGAAGCCAGTTACTGTACGATTGCTTAACTCCTGCCATATGGTGGGGAGCTTTTATCATCAGGAATGCAGAAAATGGTAACAGTATGACTTTTCAGCAGCTGAATGATTAGCTTTGTAATGTTAGGTCATCAGATTATACATCCTAATGTTTACCATTCCATATGCCTTCATATATTCTGACCTACTGAGACTTTCTCTGTTTTATATGCTTTTGGTTCTGAACTGCAAGATACTTTTATATTTGTGTTGTTTCACTTCCCGTGTTTCCAAATGGCTCTTTTTAGATGTTGAGCTCTACCATTACAGCATCTGCAAAGTGCAATGAAGTGCTACTGCCACTGAAATTCCTGTGTCATAAGAGAATGATCATGTAGGAACACAAGGATTAATACTTGCATCTGTGCATCTTTTGACTATGCTTTTGCTTTTCCTGCCCTTTTTGCGCCCAGGAGCAAGCCTGGGAATGAAAATTGAATTCTTGTGCCTGATAGGTGAGATCTCCCTTGAGGGGAGTTGCTGGATTCAAAAGTTTTCTCCTGGGAACTAGAGGGGAGGATTTCTAAATAGCTGTGTTAGTAAAAGAGGGCATTTTTCCAGTTTCATATTTTACTTTTGCACAAGGCCATATGCTTTTTCCAGAATTATCCCGCAAACATTTAATGTTTTTAAATTGGATGCTGTGAAAAAAATGTGTATCATATTGTTCTGATTTCTGCTTGCAGACTCCATGGGGAAATTGGAGAATCCCTTCCCAAGGAATTGGCTTATTCCACTGTTGAAACAAGTTGCATTTTCAACTACCATTGAATTGTAGCCATCTTTACTAAATCTGTGTTTGATTTTTTTTTTTCTTTTTTTTTTTTTTTCAGTCTGGCATCAAGCTGAAGAAGTTGCAGGCCCGTGTGCTCAGAATACTAGCCCAGTACCCAGCTAATCTTCTTGACCCTCTGATTAGCATTTACCAGCTCCATACAGCAGACCGGAACTATTTGCTTGAACATGTCAGTCATCTTTATCACAAAGGCGATTACAAAGAGGTGGGTCATGTCTTTCAAATAAATTTACCTACCCAGCTCTCTAGTTCTCTGTTAATGTCTGTGTCCTTTTTTGGATGCATTTCAATGTGAATTCCGTTTCATCACAGCAGCTGCACACTGTGAATGGTACAGCTTAGCATGGTCTTCCCATGTACATGAGCAGGCTGTGTTCAACCTCATTTTTTCTAATGGCTGAGTACAGAATGGCAGTGAATCCTTCCTCCACCCCTTTTTTTGACCTTTGAAAGTAATAGGTTAATAGGGTTTAATTTAGAGAATTTAAGAGGATGGTTGTGTTCTTTTTTGTTTTCCTTGTCCTTGGCAAGAAAAGAAGGGATTTTAGTAGTTGGCCATAGACCTGCTGTGCTATCTGCAATCTGCCTGCAGCAAGGAAGGGTTGGAAAATCTCTTTGTTCCCACGTGGTTACCCTAACCAAAGGGTTCTCAGTTTGAGGAGTTCCGAAGCCTCTTTACCGTGGAGGCTCATATTTAGAATGTGTTACTTCTTGTGTATCTGAGTTTAAGAGGCTGACACTGGCAGGAGTTCACCAAACCCAGAATTTTACATGTTTTACCCTGTGGTTTAGAGTACTTGCAGCATCTCTGGCATCACCATGGTGTCTTGGTGGCCTTGTGAGTGTTCTCATGAGCAAACTACAATACTGTTAATGCTTTTTTTTTTTTAAAAAGACAAAAAACATAGGGTTTTTTTTTCTCAAAGGAAGATGGTTTGCTTTGATAGTGTAGAACAGCTTGATCTTGTTTAGCAAAAGAAAAAAATCAAATAGCATTTTAAAAATCTTATTCTTCAGTAAAGCCAAATTCCCAAGTGTGATTGTGGAATTCCATTCTTGTTGATTTCTTTGAATACTGAAACAAGGCTATTTCATGTTTGATTAGAAGTTCAGAGGTAGCTGCTTGAAGCTTACTCTTTTGCTCAATAAGTTTTTGAACGTGAGTGTTTGAAAACCCTAACAGAAGTGTAGTAATTGACTACATTCAAGTGTGATTTTTAAGTTCATGGCTCCAGATATATTTATTGTTTTCATTAGAAATGCAGTTCTTTCTAGATCTGGTTTTGGAAAACTCTAAATTTTTTTTTGGTGGAATTGTTTTTCTGTTCTTTCTTCCACAGAAAAGCTCATTTGCTAGTCATTCCCAGTGTGAAGAACAGGAAACCTCAACTGTTGCTTACCCTCGGCCATAACTTTCTTCTAGTTTTGTTTTGTTGCCAGAAGGATGAATAGAATTATTTCAAGAATAACAGGAAACCTTTTACTGCCCTTGGGGACTGATCATACCTAAGTTCACAGCAACTAAGTCCCAAAAGCCTGGAGCTCGGGCTCTGAGCACTTGCAGTGGGCTATGGCATGTCTGTTCGTCGTGCTCTTCCCTGTCTTTCAGATGTGGCAGTAAAGCAGATTCCCATGTAGGATTTTTGGCTTTTCTGTCTCTCACCTGAAAGGACAGAAATCCTTATAAATCCTTGCTGTTGTTATTTATTTTCTTGCTGTATTTACAGTAAGACACCAGGCATTTATTCTAGAGCGCATTAATCCCTTTGCCGGTCTTGATGCATTTACTGCTGTGGTGTGCGAACCAGGGAGGTCCCCAGCTCTGCCCCACGGTTTAAGGCTCCTTTCTCCCACAGAGGTTTTGGAGAAAACGAGATCCCAGAGATCCTTGGGAACGGCCAAGGCGGTTATTTGTTTCTGAAGCACATCTGGCCCTCTCTGTATGCCCTGTTTTAGTAGAGCTGGTGAAAAGCTGAACCAGTTTGAGAATCGCAGCAGGCGGGAGTTTTGCAGTGAGCTGCCGGGAGGGCCGCCTGACGGGGCAGGGTGCAGGTGTCATGGGGGTGGCAGGACAATCCTCGGCTGTACACAGGCAGTGGTGGGTTTGGTGGAAGATGGCACAGGTGGAGGTAACTTTATTCTGATTTAGCAGCATCAAGTAGTGGTAGCTGTGGTGAGGAGGCACCTGATGGGGAGCGCTGGCCAGCGGATGGCACTGGTGCTCCCGTGATGCAGGAAAACAAGCTGATACGGTCAGAGTTAAAGGAAAAAGTGGGGACATGTAAGTGGGGTTTTTGAGGCGTCTGACCTGTTTGGGGTTTGTATCCATTCTTTTGTGAGTGGAGTTGGCAGCTGCTGGAGGAGTGTGGCAGTGTGGGGCCTTGCAGGGTGCTCTGGAGCTGTGCAAGGTTCCCGGCTCTGCTCTTCATGGCCCCCAGGCATGAAGAGACAGAAGGGTATGGCGTTCCGCTCAGGTAGTATCAGGTGAAATGTGGTGGCTTTGTCCCCTTCTCAGAAGCCTTCCAAAGCCACGGGCCATGGCTCCACACCACCCTCGGCCCGGGCTGTCCCAGGCCGTGCCGGAGCCTGGTCGGGCTGCGGGTGGATGGCTTTGTGGGAAGGGCGATGGCTGCTGGTGGGGCTGGGACAATGCGGGGATTCAGCAGACCGGGGGTAATGCAGTGCGAGCGAGTCTGTGAGAGGCCCTGAATAGACCAGGCTGTGCTTGAGAAGAATGAGGGGTAGGCAGAAGGCAAGCTAGTGTTTCATGGTCATCTTATGTTACACTTCAGTCTTTCAAAGAGTGTCTGGGGCTGGTTGAATGAACCTCTCTTGCACTGCGAATGCAGGAGCCTAGAGACAAAGGGGACTCTTGTCACTCGCAGGCCCCTTTCGGGAATAAAAGCCATTGTCACATGAACAGGGGCAGTCTGGCAGGCTGTGCATGCTTCAGTGCCCCATGATATCGCTAAGTCTCAGCAGAAATCACATTCAGGGCCCTGTCAGCTTTGATTAGCGGGGTCTCATGACTTAATGTTCTGCGATATTTCATGTCTAAGGGTGGCGGCTGTCTTTCTGTGGGATGAATGCCCTCTATTGTCCACTGAGTTATTTTATTTACATTTTTTTAAACAGCTTATAAAGGTAAAAAGATAGCTGTGCTTAAAGAAAAAAAATCAAATTCCTTTGCTTCTGGATCAGTAGTGAGTGCTGCTCGGGTCAGATACAGTGAAACTTGTTTTCACAGTCAGCATCAAAGTTCTCGTCTTGTTTAACAGCTTTATAGTAAATTCTGAACAGGTGGCAGTGGAGCTGGATTTAGGAAGGAAACAATAAATAATCTTTTTAGCCTCTGACAACCAGAAATATTCTTGGGCCTGAGAGAGCTCCCACTCAGACTTCTCTGTATCAGTGACCAGCAGCATTTTTCTCCCCTTCATCAGTTTGGTTCTTAAACAAGAATATTGGACTAAGCTATTAGTGGAACAGGGAGTATTTGGTTTTTAACAGGTTTTTTTGGTTGTTGTCCATCCAGATTTCTCTTTTTTCAAAAGCAGAGTGTATTTTTTCTACTAATGTTTCATCTGTTAATTTCTACGAATGATAAAGGTTGATTCTATATGTTAAGTTTAGTTAATGTTTGATCTTTCAGTTAAGATTATGTGGATTATCTATTAAAATTCAGTTGTTAAGATTTGTCATAAAGTAAGTTGGAGTACCCAGAGAAAAAGCTCTGTAGACACAGAATTTTGTCAGCAATACGTACTATTACGGAGTAATTTGATAATTCGGTAGAAAGGATGGTTGACCAAAGAGTTAAACTTAAAGGAATACAAATATGCTAAGGTGTAGAAATGCATAGTTCGATCACCAACACAACCTTTAATTTTCAGTGTAATGATGTTTTGAACACTGATACAGGGATTTTACTCTTTGTAGTCCTACTTCACACATGGTGCTTGAGTATATATGGTGTATTTTTGTGAATCTGTCAATACAGTTGGATGTTAAGATTGATTGAGCACATTAATGGATATTCAGATTTTGGATTTCTTCAGTCTGACTTTTTTAAGCTGTTCTCAGGACAGTGAAAATGTCTCTGATACTGATTCTTTCTCCCATTCACCACCTTAATTACAAAGACTTGTATTTTAAAGCGTGTGCATTTGAATTTCCTTGTTTCTTTTAAACTGAAAATAATAATCAATAAGAAAAACAAGGAAAATGTTACAGGAGATGTTTCTCTTGTAAAGATGATGATGCCAATCTCAACCCTTTTTTCCTATTAACTTAATCTACTGCTAAAGGACAGTTTTAATGGCGCGTTGCCTGCTAGATTCATGCCACTCCAGAACAGAGGTAGCCAACCTGCGGACCATGGACCACTCTGCTGCCTGCTCCCAAACACCGTGTTTTCTGGAGCCGCCTCTTCCATGGGCATCTGTCTGGTGAAGTGGTTGGGAAGGAGCTTGAGTGTTGCTGGGAAATAATAATTCAGATGGCAGAATTCTGCTCCTACTGCCAGCATTTCTGGGCTCTTGTCAAGCAAGCAGGGTGTCGGAGAAGAGGTGCAAATGTGCAGCAGATCTAGCCATACAGAGAGTCTGGATCTGGAGGATCTGGTGAAGGTGGGTGGCCTGTGTGCCCAGGAAACTTGGGCAGTGCTCTAGAGGATCACTCATTTGTGAGGATGCACTGACCAGTTAACCAGGTTTAAAACTGCTTTGAGTGACCTGAGGAAGACAAATCACAGAAGTGTTTGTTTCACTTCCCTCTTCCCTTCACCTGTGCGCATGCATGTTCCAACCTTGAGTTTTACTTCTCTTCCCTCTACCTCAAATTCTTTAGATATGAGTAACCTGTCACTACTTCATTTTGACCATCTCACTCCTTATAACGCATGTTCATGCTCTCTTGAAAGTGGACCTGGGAAATCTCATGTTTTTCTCATTTCTGAAGATCTTCCTGAAGACAGCTGTGTGTACTGTGAACTCTTTAAGCAGGAAGTAATTAAACGTCTAACCTGGTGTCATACACTATGCAGTGATGCACTCTGAGAGTTTGAGCAAAGCTGATTAGCCACAAGTTTGAAATGAGCGATTCCAAAACACAAACCAGATGTTCCCAATGATTAATACGTGGTGTGCCTTTTACTCAATTATTTCTATGGTTATTATGTATCCAGGCTTTGATCACTGTGATTTTCTTAGAGTTGATGTTGGATCCTCTTCTGCAAAGTTCTTGTTCTGTTGTTTGATCTGTTTTATGGGTTTTCAGAAATTCCTTCACTATTGGTTCAGAAATACTACACAAAGTCAGGCACAGACATATTTACCTTTGTGTTGTCCCAACTTGCTTGCAGCAGAGCTAAGTAACGCAGGAGTCATCAGAAACCATTTGTGTCTGTCCTGCATCATCACTCCAAGCAGTGCAACTCGCAAAAGGTTATTCCTCTGATGCTAACCCCACCGTGGGAAAACTGCCTAAATTGTCAGTGTAGACACCACCCAAGTGCACATGCCCTTGCAGATAAGATCTTGTGTGGCTTCCTGCACTTCGTACTCTATATGGAAAGAATAGTCATTTTTAGATGAGATGGAGCAAATTACATTCAAAACAAGTATGAGAGGATCAGGTATTGGTGCAGGGTGCTCTGGGCTTGTGCGTTCACTTCAAAACACTCCCCATTTTCCCGTACTCTTATTTTTGCAATTGCGTGACTAGAAGAGTGGTCTGGTGCTCGTGGCTTGGCCTGCATGCGTCACGTTTGGGTAACTTCCCCCATCCTATGGTCAATGCACCTTTGTGCATTTTAGATATAATTTAATGTAGTATTACCCAGATTTTAATTCTTCCTCATCCTCATCCAACCCTCCTTTGCTATATTTTTAGGTGTTTATCCTTAGGAAACAAACTATTGCAAAATGTCCAAATGTGATTTTTACTTTCACCGTAATTAGATCAAAGAATGACCCAAAGCGTCCTCGAGAGCAATGAGAAGACTCCCGAACTTTGATGGGATTTGAATCAGGCAGTGGGTCATCTTTTCTCCTGTACTAAGCAGTGGCTTTGTCATGTTCCTGTCCCTCATATGCTTGGGGGATGCAAGGCAAGAGAGGGAGCAACCTTTCCCATATTTCTGTTATGATCTGGGGCAGGAGAGTTTTAGTATAGATTAAACACTTTTATGTGTAGCATTAATGCTCATAATGCTAATTCTTTGCTGTTATTAGATTACGTGCTAGAAACTCTCTATGTATGAAATGTGTTTTTGTGAAAAGGCTACTTGTACCAGCAGTCAAGACTATAATGTGTTCTCTTTATAGTTTGAGGGAGGGTGAGTAGACCCTGATAAACCGACAACATCTTAGTGTTCACCAGAGCTTTTCGATGTCCCTGTGTCGCAGCGAGGTTTTTTGCTCTTATTGATCAGCTGGTGGAGTGGGAGATATCTGCTGCTTAGGATTTCTGTTGCCTTGCTGATCCAACCTGAGTCCAAGGATCTGTGGTTGGGTTAACATGATTGCTAGCCTCCGGCTACCCTGGCTAGTCTTCCAGCACAGCTTGGAGAGTGCAGCACTGCAGATGGGGAAACGAGCGTTTCTTGGGTGGGGAGGGGGATTCTCACCATTTCAGTTACAGCATGCTGTCTACCTAATTAAAATGTTTGTTTTCTAACTACAAAATGAGTCTGCGAATGAGGTGTTGCTTTTCTGGAGATCTTATCATCTATAAACAGACTGTTAAAAATAGGGTCGTTTTACACAAAACATGTTTGTGGAGTGAAACGATTCAAAACATGATAATAACAAAACAAAATCTTAAAATAGCTCTAAGTTGAGACCACAGACACAGCTGCCAAACACTTTCATCTTTATTACAGTTACTCATATCTCTTCTCGTATTATTCCTATTGTAAACACACTGATTTTATCTCAGTTGTCCTCGCTATTCAGCCAGCCAGCCCATGTAACTACACCCTGCAATCCAGCCTGGTTGTTTGTTCCTAGGATCCAGGTCATGCATCTCCTTCCACGTTCAGCTTTGTGCATGGACAAGGCTGCTGCCCAGCTGCTGACGGTGTTCCCTGCTGCGGGAATTTTCTGCCAGCAGCACAATTGTTCTGACTACTTCATTACCTACTTTAGCGGTGTGATGTTAAAATGATGTTAAAAACCAGCTTGTGTGATTTGCCTGAAGTTCCTGTGACCTGCGGCGGTGGCGGTGTGAGCTAGGTCTGCCACAGCTGGGGTTGGAAGGCGATATCTCTCCGTGCTTTGGCTAAATGAATATTTTGTTGCTCTGCACCCTTTGGTCCAGGGTAGAGTATACATCCGGTGAAAGAGAAAAACCTAACCTGACACGGGACATGTTCATCTGATTAGATCACCTGTACAGTTAATAGAGATGGAGATAAAACTATGCCATTTAGATAACAGTTCTGCAATTAGGTTAATCTGAACATGCATGTGAACATTAAAAAGCTATTAGGGAAACCATTGTATGCTTGTATCTTAAAACTAACGGATTGCTTATTTAATAAAAGGTACTAATGAGATCAAATGGTGAAACAAGATTTTGAGAGTTGCAAGTTCTATTTTTTTTTTTTAATTCAGCAAACTGAGATAGCTGGGAGGAAAATAAAAACAGCTGCCAAAGCTTTGGAGACCCAAACCCCTTCTTCAGGTCCAAAACAGAAGTAGCAACCTTCGACTTGTATACCAGTTGAGAATAATTACTCCGCTTGAACTTTGCCATGTTAATCCGATAATTTGAGAGAAAGGGTACCTGATGCTTGTGCAGCAGAGTAGCATGTTAGCCTCTAAACAGGTGGAATAGTTACAAAGTCTGGAGTAAGAAAGAGATTTGATTGAAGATTTAGCTGGTCTGAGAAATTATAATGTGCCTTTCTATTCAGTGTCTGGTTTGTAGCACACAGTCGCTACGTTAATGTTCATTACTGCTTTTGTCACTTAAAGCTCTTCTGTTGATTTCTCTTTTGGGGATGAAGCCTGAACTGTCAGTGATGCAGTGTTTGGTTTGTGTTAAAAAAACAAACAAAAAAACTGCCAAAACAACTCCGAAACCCAAACCCGAACCAAAATAAACAGGGAAAAAAAAAAGTTTTCCCACTGATATCTGGGTATATCTCTGTTCTTTCTGGACAGTAAGGTTGAACGATTGAACTTACATGGTGTGTGTTGCTTGTCTGCTTTTGTACACTCAGTCTTTGCTACAGTGGATGTAATACATGCATGAATTTCCCAGAAGGTAATGTAATCCACGGCTTCTGCTGTGAGCAATGCTCAGATGAGCTGTTTGGTTTTGTCTGTGTTGCTTGGCTGGATCTGCAGAACATGCGCTTCCAGGGATGAGTTAAGTTGAGGTGTCATTTGAAAGCTAGGAGAGACCACAGAAAATGTGTTTCAAGGTCTGCTCCTACCCCCACTTAGGTTATTTATCTGGTTACATTTTTCTATATGAGTTTCATGCAGGTGACGTGTAATGATGAGGTTTGCATTTACGTGGGGGGAATGCACTTTTTTTTACTCTATTATGTTTGTTTAAACATTCTAACAAGTAACACAGTTCTGAAGTGCAACTATTTTGACAAACAAATCCATCATTTTCATGATCTTTCTCTCAAAGTAAAATCAATCACAGATAGCAGAGAAACCTGTTGAAGATAAGAGCTTTTCCTCTGAGCCTTAACACGCTATTTTTATCCTCATCTGAATAGGCATTTGTGAACTCCGTTGATAAAGTACTCTGTCCTGTTGTTCCTTAGCGTTACATGCATGCTGCAGTAGGGTCAGAGATGTTATGTTTTCAAACGGTTTACAACCGTTTTGGAAAATACCGCCTAACTTTGCAAAGTAATTAGAAGGACACTTCATGTAAAACATCCTTGTTAGCTAGTTCACAATTATGTCAGTACTAACACATAAATACACTAGAAGGCTCCTTGGTCTTATTACTCTATTTACTGGAACAATACACTATATCAAATAAAGCTGTTATATGCTTCATCTGTATTTGAGATCCAAGTATTCTCACACACTACAGAAATTAGACACTGTTAACTGCTTAAAGTCCTGGTTGGTTTCTATACCTCCGGAGCAATGAACAGTTACATCTCAATACATTTCTGTAATCACCAGGCTGGGACGGGATAGACAGTGACTGAACCAGTTCTTCTCGCAGTTTGAGTTACGGCAGTTCACCATAGCAGAGTTTCCTCATCGACAGAAGATACTGATTTGGAATTAATTTGTGAACGTGGCAGGTCTTGGCTTATCAAAGATTTGTAGATATCACAAAAGGGAAAAATACAGTTCTTACTGTCTTTCTGATTGTGGTGAACCATAGTGCTTTCAGGGGTGTGAAGCTACACAGAAATTATAAAAACTAAGATGTCTTGATTTCAGAGTCTTTTAAATCTTGAGTTGCTTTCACAAAATGCAGCCATTTTACAAAATTTGAAAGGCACAGCAAGGTGGATAAAGTTAACTCAGAAAGGTGTGGTGGGTCAGGTGATGTTTACAATTATATTGATAGAAAATATCCATCTTAGCTGATTTTATCCAAGCACTTTACTTTCTCTCTCTCTTTCTGCTAGACAACTTGATCTTTAATTTTTGCTCCAGGGTATGCTGCTGCTCAGAATATGCAACTCTGCCAGGAGTGTTCTTGTACACTTCTAAGTGGAATGTATGTGGCCCAATGTTTGTATGATTTGTACTTGAAAATTTAACAGAAACAATTAACACATTAAAAATCTGTTTAATAATATATACTTTGCTTTGGAATAATGCCCGTTTATCCACGATGTTGTTGTTCTCCTAAATACACAACTTTTTTTGTATTTTCTAGGCAGCCATACTGAGTATTAAGCTAAAATTACAGCCAGATCAAGATGTGGAGAAGGTGAGTCATTTCCTCTGCAGGCTTCTCTGTCATCAGATCCACCTTTTGTTAAGCAGGAGATCCATCAAGGCCCTCCAAGTTGTGCTGCCTTTCACTTGAGGCTTTACTTGGTTCCCAAGAAGTAACTGCTGCATTGCTGGTGTACCTTTACATCTAGGCAAGTGACAGAGTGTTATTTTGTTAGACCCCATTACAGCTTCCTGGACTGTTTTTCTAGCTGCAACCACTGCACAAAAAAATCTAGCTGTGTTCTTGACAAATGGTTATCACTGTGATGGAGTTTAGTGCTTTTGAAGCTTTGCTGATACTTGTGTTGAAAATGTCTCATCATTTGTGTTGGCTTGTATTTGAGTTGAAAATGTCACATCGCTCTTTTGGGCAGCACTGGTTGATTAAGCAGGGGGTTTGTGACTTGCTTGCCATGTCTGAGCAGCAGGGAATGGGACAGCCCTCTGCCACGTTTCAGTCTGCAATGTTATGGACCTCCTCCGTGCCTTCTATGTGCTGCAGCTGAACATGGTGATCCAAGGCAGGGCACAGTGCTTTAAATGTAATTTCTTCTCCTAGATGTGTACGCCATTACTGCTGCAGGATAAAACTAACTTGGTGGAAGATTATGTGGGAGAATATCCTGAGCTCCAGAGCAAGCTCTTGCAGATCCTGGACACGTGGTGTGAACCTGGTTTTAATATCAGAGACATCACAAGGTAGAAACGCTTGTTGACTTTCTAAACAGCTGGGGCCAACTTGCTGTCAGAGGACAGTATGTTCTCTGGTTGTCTATCTGAGATCATTTCTCGGTGTAATGGAGTGCAATATATTTACTTTTCAACTGAGAAAGGGGAAATTCTGGTGTCTGTGCCAGAGTCTTCTCAAACACCTCAGCTCGTAAGACAGAGGTATCATTCCTGTTAACAGATGCTCAGTTCCTGCCAGGAGAGAGGAGTGCAAAATGAAAGCTGTGCAGTATATCTTAGCAATATAATAATATCAAAGCTTCCTCCAGGAGGTTGTAGCAATCAGACGCTCGTGCTTTGCTGCAGACAAGGGTTAGTTTCAGTATCGGTTGTACAGGTTTTGCAGGAAGATAATACTGTAATGAAGTGGCAGAAAAACAAGAGATGCAAGTGGTTAACCTTCATGTGCTCATGAAATAGTCGTGTGTGTTTAAATTTATAAATTGCCTCTCACTAGAATAGCTCTTGTCAGTCACAAAGCCAACAGTACAGTCAAACTCACAGCATAGATGCAAGAGTTGCAGTCCTAGTTCTGAAGAAAGATGAGAGGGAATTGCTCGCTTTCTCCTTCCTTAAAATAAGCCTCTGGACTTCAGTCATTGACTGGGAAATTTGTGTGATTGTATTGCTGGCTTTTTGCTGTAACTTGGGAAAGGTCAGGGACTGTTCTTGCCAACACCTAGCAAACCCTAATACCTCTACTGTTCAGTATCTGCTATTTGGGAAACATACTTTAGGCCATTCCATGGATGCTTCTTTCTGATTTTGTTCATTTGCTTACAGACAATATCAAGGCCTGTCCAGGTACAAACCAGATAAATTTAACCGCAAAATGTTAAGCAAGCTGATCTTCAGGCTCCTAGACCGATTTAACGTAGATCCAGGTATGTGATATTGCAACATACTGTGGAGTTATCTCACCAGTAAAGAACAGATTAAGTCAATTTGTCTTCTTCCATGTTCAGTAAGGAATCTCTACTGTAATTTATCATGGGGAGTTTCAGGGTTTAATTAATGATATTCAAAAACAAAGCTGGTAAGTTATGGGAATTATCGCTTTTTGCTGTCGAGGAATGAAGTGCTTGTGACTAATAGACTGCTTCTTCCATGGTATGAAATAAATCTTGACCTCAGAATGGCTCTACGTAAACACACGATGGTCAGCTTTGAGTTATGACTCCATTCCACTCACATAAGAGGCAGGTCATTATTCATCTGGGGATCTGTTTTCTTGAGTTATGGGTCCGTCAGCTGGGAAGAGATAACCCTTGGGAAGCAGGAACCTCACAGCCCTTTGTATTCTTTGCATAAACCAGGGTTGGTGGTACGGAGTTTTAAGGCTCTTGCAGCCTTCTGATAGAAGTAGCACATTTTACATCACTGAATGGATCTGCTTCACTACCAGTTACCTAACAAAATCTAATTTGTTTTGCTTTGGTTGTTAGCGAGGACCATTGCTCTTTTTTTCTTCTCTTTGGGACCTTGCGTCAGACACCTTTAGGTGCCCCATTAGGTTTTGCTCTGCAGAGCTTTCCATCCTCAGCCCAAGATACGCAGTTCTCTCTTCTTGGACTGAAAAGTGTTTTCTAACCACAAATTGTGGGATTATTACACCTGGCAGCAACACTAAATTGCATATTAATCTTCACATTTTCAGACTGGTGTTCAAAAGTTAATAAGATAATCCTTACAAACCCTCATTGGAGGATAAGTAAATATGATTAAACTTAGCACATTAGTGTGAAAGCTGAGACATATGGGGGGGTGATTTATTTAAAATCTAAAACCTTCTCAGGAGTTTACTAGTCTTCAGTAATTTTTCCTCCTTTACAACGTTCGTCATATGCAGTAGGTTGTCTTGTCTTTTATGATCTGTAAAGAGAATTGAGTTGTTCCCATTTCCTTGTGAAAGATCCACCAAGGGTATGATATTAACTGTAGAGGTGAAATGATATAACTGTTCACATGCAAAATGCTGAGAAATTAAAAAAAATAATAATCTAGGAGAGGAGCATGTAGCCGTTGATCTCAGGTGCTCTCTGTGGGATGGTAGTGTGCCTCAGCCTGGTGATGGTGTCTCAGATGTTCTAGCTGCCGATAATAATGACCAAATCTTGCTGGTCCCCCACAACACATTCACTGGTGAGGAGGTTCCTTGAGGTAGATACAGATCCTATTCCTGCCTGCATTTCCAGAGAGTGATTTATCCTGTGCAAACTGCAATGTCTACGGTCCAGGGTAAGTCACTTGCGAGAGAGGGCTGTCCACCTCTGTTGATGTGAGGGGGGGTGTGGGCTACTGATTTAGACAAGATGCCAGATTTAGGGCAGCTAAAACCAGTGTTAGATGACTTTCATAGTCCCATTTCTGAAAGCAGGTGTTTATTTTTTATGTAATATCACATGTAATTCAGAGCAGTTCACATTTTGCTAAACTGTGGCCATCTTAGTCTCTTTCTAAATGCTTTGGAAGGGGATGAATGCCCACAGAGGAATTTCTGCCTTAGTGCTGGTCCTGCTTGAATTGAATTAGGAAGTGATGGCAGCTGGAGGGACATAGCTTTCCTTTTCTTCCAACTTCTCTCCCCTCCCTTCCTCTGAATTTCTGGGTGTTATTTCTCCAATCTTTAGTGGAAGTTAAATCTGACTATGAGGAAAGAGCATACAAAAAGGAAGCAGGCTAGGTAAAACGTACAGATTAAAAAGCACCCTCGTTTCTCTTGTCCTGAGCAGCTCCACCAAAAGCTAGTAGTGAGTTAAAACTCACACTTCTTGTTACCTAACCTGATTGTGGACTTGTTGGATGCCACAGTCTTCTGCTGCTTTGTATCTCCTGTTCACTGATGACTACTACTCGCTGAAAGAGGCTGAGAGCAGCAGTAGAAGAGGGAAGTGGCTTTTGGTGAGAAAGGCTGGAGGACAGGGTTTCTTGATATGAGAAGGCAAACTTGTATGTGACTCAGTTCTTGCAGTTCCAAATCTACTTTCATATTTCACTACCCGAGCTCTACTCTTATCCACTCACAGTAAATTGCACTGACTACTAAGCAAACCTTAGGTGTTGATCAGCCATTAAGATTTGAAATATTCCTTGGAACTGGCAGTCTTAAATTTCAGAGCCAGATAGGAGGTGGCCCAATACAAAAAAGATCTGGAACCTCAGGGGAAGAAATAAAAAAGCCTTCATCTTAGATTAGTCCACCTCTTCTTTTTCTGAACTGTATTCCAGTATTCTTGTTAACCCACAAAATAACGCATGGTAAGTGGAAGATTTTCTGCCAAGTCCCAAAGGTGTCCCAGTAAACTGTGTGGATTCCATTCAATTAGCTTTATTGGTTAAGGAAGAAGTGGAGCAGAAATGGTAAGTAATTGAGGAAACTGAGTTTTATAGAGTCTTTTCTCACACATGGGTCAGTGTGCTCTGGTTTAACAAGCCTGTAGCTTTTGCAGGCTAATTGCTTAATAGTCTTTGGAGACCCTGTGAGATTGACTTAGATTTACAATTGCAAGTTTCAGTCAAAACAGTTCTCAGAGATGAGGGAACAAGACCCTACCTAGGTTTGAAATGGTTGAGTCTATTTTCTGTTGTGTTTTTGCACAGCCAGTATATCACAGAGAGTTCCGTGGCATTTTTCATTGAAAATTCATTGGGTATGAGGTAGAAATGCTACCACTCTGAAAAGTGTAATTGTCCTCATATATTGGGTCTTAGTGCCTATATAACAATAAAGCAGATACTAGTGATGTCAATAGAAAAGAGATGGTAATTGAATGCACAGTTAACAGTTGTCATCGTCCTGTAGCAGAGTAATAAATTAGCTGAGCACCTTAAGGTTTGAATGCTATAAACATGTTTTTGCCATAGTCTTTAAAAAAGTTGTTTTAGCATAAACTAGAAGAAATGTTTCTCTTCCTTTGACCACCAGGTTGTCCTTTTGGTTTATCCTTTCATTTCAGTTTGGTTGTGAATCTTCCTTATGGATTTGTGAGATAAAGCGTTATCCCTCCCTTAGTGTTGGGGCAGCAGAGGGCGGACGAGGGCTGCTCAGCAGTCTGTGTGTCTGCCCAGGTAAGTCACAACTGTCCGCAGGCTTCCTCAGATCTTCCAGAGCTGCAAGCACATCGCAGGGCAGTCACCAGGGAGAGCTCCAGCAGGGACTCGTGGGAGTCTACGCTAGGTACTTTCAAAAGAATCTGTGTTGGAGAGACAGGAATGATTGTTATAATTTGGAATGCCTTTGGAAGCGGGAAATTTGAAATGTTTTTATTTTTTCCTTGTTAAAACAGAGCAGAAGGTTGTTCCTTTCCTTTACATTTGTTTTACAAAGGTTGTTTCCCCCTTCATCCATGGTGATTTTCCTTCAGAGTTTTTTAGCTTTCGTGTTAAATACCAGCATGTCTCTATATAGCACTGTGACTGAGAGGAACCTGTAGGATGAGATGTCAGAAGGCAGGAACCATCCATTCCTGAGGTTGCAGTGGCTGCAGTCACGGTGCTGAAGGAGAAGAGGATTGAACATGCCAGCATCCTTTCTGAGGTCCTTACATTCTTAGCTACGTTTTTGTCTACTGAAGTACAGGCTCTGCTCTATGATGTGCTCTAGACCAACACAAGCTGGCCAGCAGCTTCAGGCTTTTTGTTGGAAAAGCTGACACCACCCTTGCAGTTCTGAGCATGAATTCATCATATCCAGACACGTGTCTAAAGACCACACCAGAGCATTTTTTCCTTTAGGCATAAATCGAAACCCTTGTGCTATGCTCTCTGTTCTTCCTTCACTCAGCTAGTGCTCCAGGCAGCAAAGCTAGCAGGTAGCTCAGGGGTTTGGGGGTAGTCTGGGGCTTCTGCTGTTTCACCTTCCTTTCTGAGAACCGCTGGCCCTGATCTGTAGCAGCATGAAGAATTCTATAAAACACTAATGCATCTTTGAGCATAGAACAAAAAAAGGTTTTCTTGAATCCGGCCCTACCTTCAACTAATTCGCACTTACGGACTAATCTCCTAATACACTGGGAGACTAATGCACAGCTTGCTTCTCATCAGATTCCCCGGCAAAGCTTAGCAATACCAGGGTAAATGCCTCTAGTGTTTCAGGTACCCTGATTTTATTAAAAAAGGCCCCTTTACTTTGTCCCCAAACAAAGTGTACTTTGTATGGGACCTTCTCTTCTGCCAGGACAGGGTGAAGGAGTCTCATTGTGAATGGAAGTCAAGCTCTCAGGGCAGTGTAAAGAGAGGATTGGGTCCACATCCCAGCTCCGGAGGCACCACGTATCACCTGGGAGTGGTAGCCATGCACCACACCTAAACATATATTGCACCATGTCCCCAGTAGACACATCTTACCGATGTTACACGAGTGAAATAAGTGTGTATTGCAGGTGTCATACCCTGTGTGACAAACAGATTTCATTTTTACTTCCTCTCTGTTGCTAATAACCATTAACTCTCTGCTAACGGCTGAGAGCAGGCTGGATTTTTTTGCTTCTGAGTCAGTCCCAGATGTGAAATGTAGTTCAGATGAAGCAGTGGTGTGGTGCAATTGCCAGGTTAAGAGTTAACATGTGCCCAAAGAGATGCTTTCATAGTGCTATACCATTTGTGTTCCACTAGTGCTCCACAACCCAATCATGATCCCCAAAACCAATCATACAAACACTGAATAGAAAAATGGTCCTTGTTCTGAAAAGCTTAGGATGTTGTCTTTTGTTCTGACCAGCAGAACATTGGCTCATTGGTTTTGGCTCAGGAGACCTGAGTTCAGACTCCTGTTCACTCAGCTAGGTGTTTGGCCTTGGGTAAGTTGCTCTGCCCTGAAGCGCTTTGATTTCTGCAGATATAAGGTGTAGATGGTCATGAAACTGCAGGAAAAAGGTCTGACTCCTCTTATTTCTGATATACATAGAATGTGGAACCATTGAAGACCTCCAAGGTGGAAAGTTTACCATCTCCTATACAACCTATGCTAGTTCTTCTCTAGCCTTGCCATTAGATTTTTGTTGGGTTTTGGTTGGTTGTTTCCTCCAAAAGGCTATAGGGAATTTCTCTTACTTTGGGCTTTCTGATTTTCTGTGTTTGTGCTGTCCTTTTGTATGTGTGTGATCCAGTTTCCACGTTCTTTTAACTTCCTTCTTGTGATTGAGATCAATAAAAGCTTCTCATTTGGCAGTTAAACCTTACTTCACTTCCAATTTTTCTATTGCCAGCTCTTCTTAACTCCTTTTCCTCTTATAAATTATTTTCACATGAAATCTTACCTGCCAGTTCTCTGAGTTTATTGAAGTCCATTTTGTTGTTTCTATTTTGCTATTCTTCCTTTCCTTAGAGCTTTGAACTCTTCATTTCATTGTCTCTGTTACCAAGTTACCTTTCATCCTCACATTTTTGATTAGTCCTTCTTTGTTTTTCGTAATAAAATATAGAAAACTGGATTCAAAACTCAGTTCCTTTGCTCCACCAGAATAGGAGATGCCACTAGTGCCTTCTAAAATGTTCCAGTCCATCTGTGTTCCTCTGTCCTCCTTTCCGCACAGATAGCTCGGCACTTAAAAACCCTCAGTTCTGCCAAGTCCTGTGCTTTGGATATTTCCTCTAGAAGCTCAAAGAAAGAAATGTTCAATGGATCTTTTTGGCGACCTAGAGCAGTCATGCTGTGTTTCTTTCTGAAGTGCTTTGAAATCTTTAAGTTAGGTGGTGATATTACTAACTTTTAGGTTAATTTTACCTTCTTTAGAGTGTTGCTTTCCATGAGCTGATGAACTTTCCTCCAGATATTGGGATAATATCCGGAGGAATGTTCACCATATTTATTGGGATAATATCTTGTGGGATAATTGCTTATTTCCTCAGATCCTTTGAGGGCAAGGATATGTTGTCACACTGTGAAAGATTAACTTCAGAGTAACAGCTTTAAACATTTCTATTTGAGATGGAAATGTTCAAGTTACGAAGCGATGCTTCAAGAGACTCTGAGAGCTGCAGTGACCAGTGGTACATCAGTTCATATCCCTCTGATGATAGGATCTGGTATTCAGAGATCTTTCTTCATTCTCTCAGTTTTTAATCCTTGGGCATACCATGTGTGGGGCACCAAGAGTGCTGAGCTCCGAGGCCCTTTGACTTGGTAACACTAATTTCTCCCGGTGTATGTGGATTCAAGGGAGGCTGCAGAGAATTTTCATTTTATTGTTCTGTGTTATTGTTTCTGGTTGCTGGTCCTGCTCCTTCCGACTACCAGTGAGATGGTTTTAGCCACTGAAATCCCAGTGAAGGCTTTGGTTAAATCTTTCCATGTACATGCATACCAGCATCTAGCAAGAACTGACAGATACGTATGCTAATCCTAGTTAATGTATTTTATCTTCTGCCTTTATCTCTCTTTGCATTGGGTTTCAAAACAAGGTGCTATATGAAGATCTTGTTTTTTGCAGTTGTAATGAGGCATATCTAATGAAGATGGCAGCAATAAAAATAATAACAACTGTTGCTTGCTAGCTCAGCAAAACAATAGTCACCTCCCTCTTGGTATGGATATGGTGTCTCTTTCATGGATATGTATTTTATCGGATAAACTTTAGCCACAAGTTTACATCCTGAGTAACGTGTTCAAAACTACTGCAATGAATTAACAGCACATGTTCCAATTAAATCAAAAAGAGTGCAGCCTCTAGAGACTGGAGATGATGCCTGTATGAGGATACTACCTAATTAAAGGTGTGAAGTCATTGACTGTGAAGCATATTGAACCAGCAAGTGGATCTTATCATTCAAGGGTGGTAGAACCAGAGATATGAGAGCATTGCTAATCATGCTTGAAAGTGTAAATAACAGTTTATAGTTTAGATAAGCTGACGATGTGTGTGTCTGTCCGTCATTGTTCCAAGTGTGATAGCATCCTGCCTTCCACATACCGAGTTTGAAATTAGGGAAGGAAAAATGTAATGTCTAGACAGTCAAACTTCAAGGAAGTTCAGCTGTGTTGTATACTTAAATGTCTTTTTCCTTCTTTTAGCTCTCTGCCCTAATGTCATAAATCAGCGGCACTTGAGAACTCTGAATTACCTCTTTTACAAGAGATTTGTTGAGGTACGTTTCTGTATTGTGTAGCATGGGTGTGAATGAGGCTCTTTGTTTATTTTGCATTTTGAATAACAGAATTGATATAAATGAAATGTATTGATAGTATATGAGTAAGTTTTCATTGTGATTATTATTGTATAGAAATGCATTGGATCTGCCATGGGACCTGTTTTCTCTGTGAATTTTCTCTGTGAAAAAAGTTTTGTGTGTCCATTCGTATTCTCTTGATTGGGTGTCATGGTTGCTCCGAGCTGGATGCTTGTTCACCTCGGCATCCTCAGCAGTGTTCTGAGACACGCATAAGTAGGTCAGGATATGCTCTCCATACATTCAGTTTCTCTCAGCCATCTCAAATAAGCAGGAGCATACTGTCTAAATAGTTTTTTGAGGGGGTTGTATGTTGGGTTTTTTTTAAGAACACTAGGTTTTAGGCATTCCACATTGCTGGGTTCTTTGCAGGCACTTTGCTTTGGTACTTGTGGCCTGTCTGTGATAGGTATGGCCCCAACCTGCCACAGAAGCTTTTTTGTGCTAACAGCCTTGCTACTGCTGAGCCAAATGGTAGTACTTTCAGCTCCTGAGCCACTCTTTGTACTACTTTTACTTTTGTCCAGCTTCCAAATTCTCTTTGCAAATACTTGTCCTGGCACTGAGGGCTCGTAGAAGTAAGAAGGTGCCGTTAATTCTTTCTAAGGAGCAGGTTTCTAGGAGGTAGCTTGGAAGTTGACTGCAGAATTACTTGACTATGGTTCCTCTCCCCCTCTCATGAGTGTACTGAGCCCTAAGTCACTGCCCTTTAGATGCTCTTGAGCACACTGCATCGGGGAGCACATTTCTCTTCTTGTTAACAGGACTGTTTTGGTGCTTCTCCTGATGATCTGGCATTCATCATTATCCTGTGCCTGGAGATAGATTGTACCAGCTTAGAGTAAGTTTTTGTTCCGCCTCTTCTGGAAAAAACAACTTGCACTTGTGTATCCAGGTGTATCAATTGGACTGTGAAGGACAAGGACCACAAGAGACTGAATGTCATAGCAAAATGTTTCCATTTCTTGAATTTTGAATTATCAAGCTGTATTTGCAGAACATGGAGTGGTGTTTCATCTGCAGTGCATAGAACACTTTCTCCTTATAGATACAAGAGGATTCTTTTCACAGAGTTTTAACAGAGCCCAACAGGTTGTTCAGATGTTCCTACAGTACTATCGATACAGTCTTCAGAGAGCCAGTTTTCAGGAAATGAGACACCTCCTCCAAAAATGCCTGTTCTTTTGTTCAGAAGAGGATTTGTTTGATGTTCTGACAGAAGGTGGCAGACGCATGTGTTTTTTCTGATCCCCCACCCCCCAGTACTTTGAACGCGAAGGTGAGGTTGAGTTTTGGTGGTCTGATGATGCCATTCTGGCACAGCCAGTTCTGCTTCCAAGACCTCCTGCTCCATCAGTGAAGGCTCTGATCTGTCTTTGCTGCCTGCCAGATCCACTGACAGAAGACCTGGGGAGGATCGAGCATTTCAGCGTCCTGCATCTCAAAGCTTTAATGTTGGATGACATCATTCTAAAGAGCTTGGTCATCCGCAGTGAGAGAGTAGAAAGCATTTATCCAGGTGTACTTATTTATCAGAGTGGAATGGATTCTTGATCTGGTGTTCTGCTCTCTCTGGCCTTCCATTTCCTTTGTTTTGGAGTGTTTGCTTGATTTAAAGTATCCAAGCTGGCTGGTTACTTCCGTTAAGGTAGATTTGGCAGCTGTTTCTGGACACGGTCCCTTCTTCTGAGAGCTCTTTGGTGTTCTCTGTTTACCATTCTCAGCTGTGTATGAGGTCTGGTTAAATGTCTCCTTTATCTCACTAGTATTTAAATTACATGCTTATATGTGTCCAAGATGTTTTCTTTGAGGCTCTTAGTCTCTGTTTGCTCTTGTACCTTTCCATAAAAGTGGCACTAGTAACCATTGTTACCTCTGCCAGAAGTGGGAGTGAGGATCAAGCCTTGGTGGCGGCTCAGTCTCATGCAGCCTGTGTTCTTGGCAAAGGGGAGAGTAGGTCCCATCCTGAGTTTCTCCCCAAGGCTGGCACTGAACTACATTGGAATGGGGATATTAACTTACCGGTTTCCTTTTTGACCTCATGATTCCAGAGGATTTTTCATGACTTGGCTGTTGAGAAAAGTTTGTATTTTTATCTTCTGAAGGCTCAGCCTTGCAGATGATCCCTGAGATCACTTCCTTTACTGGAGCCTATGGGTCTGGCTCTCCGCTGGGCTGGCTGTTGAGGTGAACAGCCTATGGCCATTGCAAATCTGAGGTAAAAGCAACAGCAATGATCCGTGCGTTCCACCAGACCATGGCCTGTTTCAGCACTGCTCAGCGATACCGCTGTCATTGCAAGAGCACCTTGTGAGCTTTGAGGCAGTCAGAAATGCCACTGCACCTTGCAGAGTGTTGTTAAGGTGATTAGTTTTCTGCAAATGAGCCCAGGATCCACCTCAGGATCCAACTCTAATGAGAGTTCGGGCTACTGCTGGGTAAGGGTCTGCCATTGCCTGGGTACTTTGCATATGAATTTTTTTTTGTCTTACGTGCTGTAGTGTAAGTGTTATCTGAATTACTTCATCTAAGCTGTGCTTTTCTGCCATGCCCCGGCTGGTGACATACAAGAAGCAGAGGTTTCCCGTGTGGTCCAGAATGCATTCCTCAATCACAATTGATGCCAGTGTGTAAGATGGTGTGTTAAATTTCAGCTTGCTGTATGGAGCATTCTCCCTCTTCTAAGATGGCTCAGAAGTAATTTTGTCTTTTCAGAAAACTATGACTCAGGAGAATTGGACAGATCATGTTCAGGTGAGTATGCATTTCCCTCTCCCATTTTCTCAGGGTTATTTGCTTGGAGATTATTTTAAGGTGTTCAGACTATCCAGTGCTGGATATTGTGGTCCTACTACTACAGTTTTGCACTTTCTTATAATTTTGTAAGCATATAGCAAAATTGTACATGCAGGGAAAAGCAAGGAAGAAAATTTATATTTTAATTCCTGTTATGTCTTTAAAAATGCTCTAGTTTGACTGGAGCATTTAGATAAGATTATCAATTACATTCTTTTACTTCCATGCACTTATTTGTAAGTGAACACTACAACTATTTATGGTGATTAATTACAAGGAGGAGGGAAAAGAGAGTTCTCTTCAGGTGGCTAACAAGGTGTGTGAGTAAATAGGGACAAATGTTAGATTCCCTCTGCATCCTTCCACTCTGATCGTTTTCAACAGGTTTATTAGGTGACTTACATATTGTGACTTCTATGTCTTCTGCTGTAGGACACAAGTAATTTTAATAACATAGGAAGAAGGATAGCAGTATTTTTTTTTTTTGGTGTATAAACAGGAGAATTCAGGCAATCATGTTTTGGCCTGATACTACAATAAATACATATGTCACAATGAAATATCAAGAAATTCCATGGTGGCAAACCGTTGATGATTATTGATGTGTCCGTGATATCCCTGTGGAATTGCAACCTCATGGGGAGTGTTTACTCCTTTTCTGTAACTCCTTTCAGTTTGAATTCTGCAGCCATTAAGGATTTCTGACCATCGGCTAGAGTCTGCTTTTCAAAATCCATTTGAATGGTCAGCGTGGCCCTCTGAGTGGTGACAGGCCAGTCTGATGACTAATGATCTCGTGCATTTGAGATCTTAGGCACTGTCTGTACACACCAGCAAAATTACTGAATTTTAAACACGAGATGTTTCTTCTCTCTTTCATGGGTCAGAAGGAAAAAGAACAATTCAAAAGGCATGAGGATGTGTTTTTTAAGGCAGAGATCATCGATAAAATGCCCAGCAGCACTTCATGGCAACTGTTAAACCTACTGAGTGTTTTCAGTGGTGAATTTTCAATTTCTGTATGTAGTTTATCATACCCATGCAAGAGCCAGACTCTGTGAGGAAAGGAAGGGGTTTTGCCTATTGATCTCAGTGATCTTATCCAGTGAAAGAACTTTTCAGGGTTCCCTTTGATTTTTGCAAGCCTAAAGGCCAGCACAAGTGCTGATGCGTTGCTAGATCAAGACCTGAGATGGGATTAGCCATGAAACTGTAGCAGTCATCTTTGTCACGACTCCTGGATGTACTTTGGTGTATGCAGTGAAGAGGTGTCTGTTGATGGTGGATAGTGGGAAAAACCTCCCAGTTAACATACACGATTAGAGACAGTGTCAATAGATCCTCTCTGAAAAGTGCTGGTTTGGTGCCTGGTAAGACAGCTCCCTAGAGAACTACTCAGAGCGCAACTGCGTGATGGACTATGGCAGAAGGTCGTCTTTTCTTTCCCAAAGTATTCCAACCTTTGTGTTTCCTGCGTGCTGCCAACTTATGTATTTTTGACAACTATGTAATTATCACACGAGTAATGCTTAAACTTGCCTGTTACTAGTTCTGACTCTTAGTGCTATCAGAGATTACTGTCTTTGGCATCACTTTAAAGTGATCAGAATCTGTACCTATGCATCTGGAGGAAACCGAAATAATCACATGTGCAGGTAGGCTTCTGCTTTACACTGCTGGCAGCATGGCTGCACTGAGCAAAAGAAAAGTTACAAAGGAGGAATCTCTGGGCAAGTTTTGTTTTTCAGTGCAAAAACTAGGGTTGTCTGAGACTTTATTGTTTTTGAAGGACTGGGTTTGACATGAGGGAAAGGTTCAGCTTTCCACTCAGAGCTTCACTTGTGACCTGACATGTTTTGGCCACAAATATCCGTTAGGCTCCTTGTGGAGCTGGAGGGAGTTGTTGTTTGTGTTGTATGTCGCATCTGTATGTTTAATTCAGGCTCACAGGCAATTTGTATCTCCCAAGCTCTGCCCGGTGATGTAGTATTTAAGACACATTGCACTGGGTAGGAGGCAGAGGATGGGATGCAGTGGACCCTCTGAGTCACCTGGGAGAATGGGAACCAAAACTCCCAAAAGACTCCACAACAGCAAAACTCTCAGTCAGAATTTTTGGATAATTTTTTCAATGATAAGTCCAAAGAGGTTGAAAGCCTTCATGGGTTTAAAGCCCATTTTTGTTTTATTCTGTACTGCAGCCGTAACAAAAGATTTAAATTATATAGATATCGAGAGCCCTGGTGAAAGTGGTGTCTCTCCTTGTTCAGTGGTGCTGGCCCTGTCATTTGGTATGGCAAGCGATAGACATTTCTGGGCTGGTGTTTCTTTTTGTTCACCCTGAGCAGTACAAGTACAGAATTTTCCTGTTCCTGCCCTGTGGGATGAATTGAAGATGTGAACCTGACTGCTCCTACAAAATGCAGAAACTCAATAGTTAATTGTGGGACCAACAGAACCTGTTTCCAGCCCTGTAGTAAACTGGTTTTGCCCCCTCCGCCTGCCAGCACCCGCGCTGCTGATCTGCTGTCCAGGCTGTGGCTGCACAGGCAGGGATGGCAGCAGTAGGCAGCCAGAGGAGGCAGGAGGGAACGCAAAGGGATCAAAAGGTCTTCGTACCCTAGGGAAACTGCCCTCATCGCAACTACCTGTTGGAAAGCCTGGTTAGCCCAGGAGGAGAGCTACCGTTTGTATCATCTTCTCCAAGCAGAGATACCTGGAGGGCAAAGGGAGGGGAAGAGTACTCTTCTTGCATGGTGCCAGCTGCATTGCTATTCATTAGCTTGTCTAACTGATTCTGAGCTGCATGGAAACACGCAGGAGAGTGCCTGTCTTCACAAGCAAAGGGAAGGTGTGTAGGATATTGATGGTAGATAGGCAGGGAAAAAAAGAGGCAGGGCGTGAGCCAGTTGTCTGCTTTGCTGTATGCCCTTCTGCTTCCATTTTTGCACGCTTCATATTTTTCGTAGGTTTATTCAGGTGCATAAAGATGGTAGAATTGGGTAGGGCAACCACAGAACAGCCGATATATGACGCTGACGGATGTGTTCAGGGAGGGTTGTCCTGCCAGCGACTGCAGAGAGCACTTGGCCAGCAGCAAGAGGGGCTTACTGAATGCTGATGTTTCCCTGGAAATTCTGCTGGATAGAATCACTTTCAGACTAAAAAGCATGGAAGGCATTTTTCAATCACCTACCAAGCTTTCAAAAAGTGAGCACACATAGAACAATAATATCTATGAGGAGCATAGTAGGGAAGCAACTCTGATGGCAAATGTCTCCTCTACCGGTGTTTTAGGTGTCAGATAGTATCTGAGATACTTGCATGAGGTTGGCAGTATGACATGGGACCTACTGGGTAGCATTGCCTTCTTGGGTGGCAGCTGCAGCCTGAGGACATCTCAAATAGCACCAGACACCTGTGTTTTGGTGACCGGAAACCCTCCTAGTTTAACATAGAGCTTGGGACTAGGAAGGTCTGGTGTTTTGCTGCACTGCTTTTAGTGTGCAGTGTTCTCACTGATGTTTTGGGGGTGATCTTGCAATTGTGTCCTTCTTGACTCAGCTTGGTTGATTTATGCCAAAGCACCCATTTTGTGTGGAGTCACCCACACCCCTTTGGGTCTGGTCTGTTCCACAAGGGAGCTGTGCCCGTCTATGCGAGGAGAGAGCTGACTGGGAAGCTCTGAGGCCAACAGCAACCCACAGGAGACAGTCTCAGCTTGACAAGAAAAGGGTGAGATAGTTGTGCAGGGGGAATGACAGAATATTATGGGTATTTCTGATCAATTAGAGTCCAGAAGGCACACCCTTACTTGATGCTTCTGACATCCAGAGTATTTTTGCAGGGAATAGTTTGCTGCAGAGCTAACCATTTGGTACGGTTTAAAATGTTATCTCAGGGTACTTTGGCCCAAGAGGTATACGTGTGTTTATTTGGACTTCCTGCTATGAAATTCCTTTTCGCATTGAGCAGAAGAGGGTGACGGTACACAGCAGTGTAGCTCTTCGTTTGGGACAATAGCTAGATTCAGTGTTGAACAGGGTTAAAACCAATTAGTTTATTTAGGACTGTCAGCGTTATAGTTACCTGTTTTGCAAGATGTCTGGGACAGTGAAGTGGTAGAAATGGTACTTCCACTTGTATTAACCTTGAGCTAAATGGCCTTTTGTTGCTAAATCGAAAAACTTTCTGTGCTAGTGTTTGCGTAGGGGAAACTCTCCTATAAGTTCTCAAATGTAAAAATCTTAAACTCTTCCAAAACTAATGCTCAGAGAAAGTGCTGGTATATGAAAACATGTTACTTGTTCTTTGGGCACTCCTCATGAGCTGTGGCTCATCAGTCAGCCTGTTTGCCAGCTGATGGTTGGAACCACTCTGTCCTTCATTTTGGCATGTGCGACTTGAGAGAAGGGTACAGCAATATAACACCTGGAAAAGTGACCTTTGTTTTTTTCAGCCCTGTTTTTCAGCTATCCAGTCTGCTCTGGTCTTGCATGAGAATGATGCAGATGAACCCTGGAGCCAGCTGTTCACTATGTTCAGTACTGTGAGAGGCTGCAGCTAATCTCTTCTCCTTCTCCAGCTGTGACAATGAGATAACTTATTTATTTTAAAATTTCTGACCATGAAAATCAAACACTGTGCCAGCTCGTTCTCTGGTTGACCAGGGGTGAGATGCTAGTAATTTGTAGCAAATGTGTAACTCCAGTTCCGCCAAAATTCTAGGGTTGTTATGCTACTTTACAGGTAATATTCAGAAATCTACTCAAACAGAAGGCATAAAAGTAAAGTGCCCTCCATTATGTGTAATATGTTTGAAAAACTTTGACAATTCCTGATGCTTAATAGGTGTAAATTATCTTACACTACAGCAAGGAGTTGATGTAATCTTACTTCTTTAACCAATTAATTTCTAAATGGCAAACATTCTGAATGACTGGTGCCAGGATCCTAAT